ACAGTGTGGACAGTTTGTGCACCTGACTTAACCTGCTGTTTCTTTGTGGCAGTAACTGAGCAGGAGAAGCTAATTGGTTAGTGCAGCCTGTGAGTACATGAAGGGATAAGCTGTTCTAGCAAAATGTGCTTTCTGCTGTCATAGGTATTGTGAAATGCCTTTGTGTCAGCTCTGCAACCACATTTTACTGTATCCTCCAGTTTTTATGTACTTCCCCTCTCATGCCACGTTGCCCCCTCAGTGTAGGGACATTTCTGTGCAGTGCATCGCATTATCTATGGAGCTCTCTAGTCATACATAAATTTGATGCTTAAGGAGGAAACATTGCAAATAGATTTCCTTAACTGAAGATAGGAGGATTGCTTAGGAACATGGAGAATGGGGCTGTATTTCATTGTGGACTATTAAAAACTATAAAGTATTAATTCTTAGTTGTGGTCTTTAATCTCTTCAGTCAGTGCCCTTTGGTCTGTGTGCACTTTTACTGCTTAATTTAATGCAGTCCATGTTTTCAGTGGTAGTGAAATTTCTCAGCGCTTATGCATTTTTGGTCTGTGCTGATAGAAGTGTGTTAATTGTATTGATAACTTGCAGTAGGCAACTCGAGCATTATAGATGCTTGGCTTCCTTCTCAGATTTGAAGTCAATGTTTAATTAGGGCTTTGGTTCTGTCCCTGTTGCATAGAATTTTTGCTTAATAGATCCAGACGAGCCACTTGATACTAACAGATAAACCAGTTTCTTATACTACATCTTCAACAATGATTGCTTTTAGTTCTGTTGCTTATCCGCAGAGACTCTTAAGCTTTTTCTGAGGCTAGTGAAATGGAGAAGGGCTACCTGCCTAATTAAGGGGATCAAAAAATAACATCCAAACTTGGGAAAATGGCGTTGTCTTAAAACATAACTGACCAATTCAAAGAACTGATGCTACTGCAGCTAGTATATCAACTCTGTTTGCATTTTCTGGTACTTAGATATTCCTTCCTGTTTTCTTTTTTTGCTGTTAAAAGAGATTGGAATAACACTGAATATTTAGGAAGCAGGTACCCTGAAAATAATTCAGGCGCCTGGATTCTTCAACCCAGAAATGTACAGAATATACCTGTCTCATGATTTACTTAGACAATTCTAGTTACTATGAATTGCAAACCTTTATCTGCAGAGACACTGCTCTTAGCTAGCCACAAACACCTGGCTGGTAGGGCAGAACAACTGCTGGGGGATGGAATAAATCTTCCACTCAGGCAGAAGTAGCAAGTGAAGCAAACAGGGCTCTTTCATAGGACTTGGCTACATCTTCCACTTTTTTTTTTTTTTTTTAATTTTGTCAAGAGCTGCTAAGAGCCCTGATGTGTATGTGATTCAGTCTTCCACAGAACTTCAAGTGGCAGATACTACTCCTGTCAACTTAAGCAAAATTGTTGCTTCTAATCTTGACTGATTTAAACTCCAACTAAAATTAAATATTTATCTTCTTGCACATTGCTTCCATGTGCTGTTAACTGCTGTTCAGGAACTTTTAACAAGGTAGCTTACGAGTATAGGCACAAGACATGATAAAGGCAGTATAGGCAGAAGGATGCTGTCAGAGAGGTGTCTTTTAGTGTGTTGAATCTCTGAGAAAAGGCAGGCTTAATGAGCTGCAAGTTTACAAGTAAATTGCCACAAGTATGGACTTCTGTCTTCTGCACGCTGAAGGCTAAATAATGACACTGAGGGAACAGGCTGAATTGCAGAAACCATTTTGTCTTAAGTTTACTTACAAATTCTTTAAAATAAAGCTTTGAAAGTGTATGGTGAAGCTCGACACCTTCTAGGACACCTATTGACACCTATTTTTCCTTCTAGGAATTGGCTATGCCATGTCACTGCTGGGCCCTGCTGTTGGTTATGTCTTAGGAGGGCAGCTACTTAATATTTATATTGATATCCAGATTCCAGAAAGGCAAGACATTTAGTCTTTTGTTTTATTTTTTCTTTTTTTTTTTTTTTCCTGTAATCTTTAAAGTCTTCAACCTCTCCCTTTGGGAGGGGGGATCTAGCATTTCCTTGGGAAATAGCTTTTCTAAACTTATTTAATTTGGTAACAAATTGCATTGCATGAGCTTCTTGCAAGTAAGATGCTTCCCACAGTGAGTAATCTCTCCCCTGCAAGATCTTTTTGTGTGAATAGTTCAAGCTTTTGGAGGTATAAATTATTTTAAAGCTGATGAACAAAAGGGGCTTCTGATTAATCGCTCCTTTAGTTGCTGGAGTTTGTCTATTGATACAGTGTGGGAAATGTTTTCCTGAGGTGGTATATAAGCAGTAGGACCCAGCTTCTTTCTTGCCAGGGGAGAGTTTGCTAGAAAATCTTATCAGCTGAGTGACAGTTCACCCTTCAAAAGGTAATATTTGAATTGTAACAATGTCTTAAACCGACAACTTTGTGTATACTGTACTTGCATTTCCCATATTTTAATGACTTGATCAATGCAGTAGCATTTCCCTGAAGTATTCCAACTCATTGATTATGAAGATTCTTAGGAGCAGCTTTAAGTATTACAGTGCTACAGCTTCCTAAAATCAAGGTCAGAGTAGCCTTCAAATCAGATTGAATTTAATAAATAAAGATCAAAGCTGGTTTCACTAGAATAAGGTGTTACTATAATAGATTTGCCAAGTACACTTAATAGTATTCAAGCAAATAAATAAATAGAATACATGCAGAAAATAAGGAAAAATAAATAGCAATATCCAAAGGTTTTTAGGAGCAACTAGTGTAATAAAACTTGCCAGTGTCTCAAACTTGCTGCTTTTGAGTTCATAACTGTTAAACCTAATTTTCCAAATTATCTTTTTAGTACAAAGCTGGATCACGATGACCCACGTTGGCTTGGGGCATGGTGGATAGCATTTCTTGCATGCTTTTTTGCAATTTGGCTTCTGATAATACCGTTTTCATGCTTTCCAAAGCACCTGCCAGGTAAATGTTTAACAGTAATGAAATACTTTGGAAGGGAGGGAGATTTGTTTATCTGTTTATTTGCTTGTATGGATTATGCAGTGCTGGACTGAGAATGATTGATTCTTGTCTGGTTCTGTTTCTCATTTTGCTGTGTTTTTGGCTGAATTTTGGAAAATGCCTGCAGCTAAGCTTCTACGACTGTATTTAAGAATACTTTCAATGTACTATTTGCCTTTTTGTTCAGGTAACTACTATCTAGGAATATCCTCAGAGGAGCATTTTAAGGAACCTATCCTGCTTCTTTGGAAGAGAAGTAGAAGACAGGGAATAGTGAAGCAAACAACTGAGAAGAATGGGAGGGTTATAAAAACATTGATCAGGCTTCAGACTTGTCAGAAATTCTTAAGATATTTCTGATAACATCTCACAGCTTCAAAAGGATGTATAGTATTCAGTAAAACTCCTCTTTCAACAAGAATAAGTTACTGATCTTTATATTGATCTGTATCAATAAAATAATCAAGATTCACAATTTGAGCTTGTTTTCTGAAGAACTCAGAAGTTGTGACTTCTGACTTGTGACAGTTTATTGTGATATTGCTCAATATTTATGGAGTTTAAGAATACCGTTCAATGAATCCATTGTCCAGAAATATTTCCTTCTGTAGGCACAGCAAAAATACAAGCTGAAAAAATCTCTGAGACCCACAATGATGGAAGTGAAGCACTTGTTAAAATCAAGAACATCGGAAAAAGCTTTAAAGACTTTCCTGTGGCTCTCATGGTAAGATAATCCGGATTTTTTTAATTAAAAAACACGTTTCTTACTATTATTATGGGGATTTTTTAGGTTTTGCATGAGTATCTAGAAAGGTAAAAGTTTTTCTTTTTAATCATGCTATGACAAAGAAGTTTACAGTGATGCAGAAAATCTTTAATGCATGCTGCTTCGTTTAGCTCATGCTTAAGATGGTTAAAGCAGGAAGAGCATACTAATGACCTTCAACATAATAAGTATATTTGAAAACAGATCCTACTTCTTGATTATCTGGCTTTACAGTGAGATAATTTCCTGAGTGCTATGCTACTTTTTCCCCATAGATACTCTTGAAGAATCCTGTGCTCATGAGTCTAATAATAGCAAGTACTTCAGAAGCTTTAATTGCCACAGGTTTTGCCACATTTCTACCCAAGTTCATAGAAAACCAGTTTGGACAGACATCAAGTTTTTCAGCAACTCTAGGAGGTAACGTGTGTGTGGGGGTTGTTTTTTATGTTTAATCTTACATTATACCGAACACCTTATTATAGCTGAGTGATTCATTGGCTGTCATGTACTTCCTATCCAAGACACTTCTGTGGAGGTATTTATATGAAAGCTGTAGAAATGCAGCTTTTTAAAGTTGTTTTTACCCGTCCTAAGGAAACCGACACATCAAGGGTGCAAATCTATTCGTGGTCTGTCAGTTCAGTGGACTTAGTACAAAAATTCAGAGCAAAGAGACTTCTGTGAGAATCTGAAGCAATTGTTTCTACCCTTTTTATTTTTGAGTAGCATTTAGTTTTTCGTAATTAAAATCAACTGAAGACATACTAAGCATTAGCCTTGAAGGGCAGCTGAAGAAAAAGCACTGTCCCTCTAAGAGGTTGAGCTGGCCTTTTGCTTCAATCCCACTGTAATAGTGCAGTAGATGAACATTTGATAACATAACTGCCTAGCTGTGATATAGTCTGAAAGGACTGTGCATCACACTGTGTGTTCATATCAGATAATAAAAATAGGTGGAACATGCTGAGTACTGGAAAACAAAATCTGAAAAACTGATGGAGATGCCACACTAGATAAGAATGCATCATTAATCCAATGCTTTTTTATTTTAAGAACAGCAACTAGATCAAGGTAGATATGACAGACCTGGTACTTCTGAAACGTATCTTGCTGAGTTAGTTGTCAGCTCCTTAGTATCTGCCTGCATGGCAGCACTAATTGAAGTGCTCCTACTCCAAAAGACATGACGTGCTGGGACCATTCTGAATCACTTACTCTAATAGCAGAGCAGAGAACTAGTATTATTGCTATTCAAATGACATTGCCTCAAACAAAAAACCAAACAAAGTCCCCTGCAAGTTTTACATTGAAGTGCATTGAAATCCACGGTCAGTTTTTAAATGGTAATTTGCAATAAAGTAGAAAACTTTCTGCCCTGGCCCTCAGCTTGTCTTAAGTTCTTCTAATTGGAATTGGAAATATTGGTAGTGTTAATCAAATGTGCACCTTGAAGGAAATGCTTGCAGTTGAAAACTGCCTAGATGTAGTCTAATATTTAGCTAGCAGGACTAAATATTTTCAGTAGCCTTATTAGCTATTTAAACCACTGTTGACTGCAGGTATTTAATAGTTCTGTTGCTGTACCTGAGCTGTCTCTAAAATGAATTTTTTCAAATCGCACTAATCACTTCTGCGCTGTTTTCTATGCTAGCCATAGAAAAATATTCAGTTACCCACCTAGTACCTTAATTTATTCTCTTTGCATTATTATGGATGGTATCAATGAAGGGGAAAAAATGGTTCCTCTGTCTCAGCAACTTGAACTATCTTTCTGGAACTGCTTACATGTATTTTGTGCTACATATTGTACAATAGGGTTTATGTTTTATAGGAAGCTTGCAGCTTAAGTGTATAATACAGACACCAGGTAAGCACATGAAAATATTGAGAAGAATTCAGGTAGCATTTTGAAGCTTCATATAATAGCCTACTGGTATGTGGAGATTTTTGCCAAGTATAGCAGAGTACAGTTTGCAAATTTAAAAAGTACCTTGCTTGCTGTATCAAACTCTGGTTTTGGACAACTAAGTCATGCTCTTAGGTTGTACTTCTGAAGAGATTGGAGATAATTAGAAGAAATCACTTTCAGTGAAATGCCTAAGTTACTCATGCTGACAAATTCAGGTAGGATGGTTTTAAAATGACATCACATGCAGTGCATCTAAAAATACAGGTAACTGCTATGATTTTCTTAAAATTGCACTCAAAATTGCTTCACTAATTGTCTTGCATTTGTGTGTAATTGCTGATGTCTTGTTTTCCTCTAGGACTTGTATTAATTCCAGCAGCAGCACTAGGCCAAATCATAAGTGGCTTCTTGGTTTCCAAGTGCAAAATGGATTGCAAAAGCATAATCAAGTTCATGATAGGCACTTGTTCAGTGGCACTACTATTAAACACAGTGTTTTTATTTGCTAAATGTGGGAATGAACCATTCGCAGGTGTCTCTGAAACATATAATGGGTAAATATATTTTAATGCACTCTTGGGATTGGTATTAATGTTTAAAATACATAAGCTATTTCAGAAAATACAAACTCTTTAAAATCTCATATCGCTCTACCTTATGTATGAAAACAACTGTTTCATGGAATTCAGCCTTGTTCTTTGATTCTTTATATAACAGACTAATAGGAGAATGTTACCATGTGTAGCCTCTAAAATGTCCTGAGTACAGGACCTCGTAACCCTCTTGCTGTGACAGCTATGGTCTGACTAGGGCTAGTTCTGTATATGTGCAAGAGTGGGGTCTTTTATGTCTTCTTAAATTACCCAGTGGTGGACAACCTGTGCAGACTGTTCCTGGGGAGGGATCTGCCATCCACGTGTTTCATGAGAGAATCATTAGATGAGCTATAACAGAAACTGCCTCCAAAGTGATTGCAGACTTGTCCCTAGAAAAGGCAAGGTATTATAATATCAGGTTCTAGTGCATCTAGCATCTGCTTACAGAAGGGGACCTTGTTTTATCTGAGTAAAATGTCTAATATTTGAAAGCAAGATGCAGAAGATGAATGCAGGGAATGCAGCTCAGTGACCCAAGGTGAAGAATAAAACATGTGAAGTAAGCCTAGCTTAACAATACCATGATTCAAAAATACTTCTGGCTGACCTGTATAGGAGGGGCGTCTATAAACAAAACCTATTTTTTTTTTTTTTTGGGTCACCTAAAGAGCATGATTTGCATTCCTAATGAGAATGTAATCTATGAATCATATGTGGGTCTTTGTACTCACTGTGATAGCAGGGTTTTAGGATGCATGGTCTAGAATGCTGTGAACAAAACTCAGTCTGGAAATCAGTATAGCAAGGGAAGAACTTTCAGAAAAGTGATAGTAAGCATAAAGCAAGATTTAGAAAGTTTCTGCAAGAATAAGTTTGAGTGGAGTCCTAGGACCAGTTTTAAAACTTCACAGCAAATGTGTGCGATCAGGGTACCAGCACAGGCATGATGATGTGTAAAATGCATGATCATGTCTTAAGGAATAAACTACAAGATTATAATGTTCAATTTCTCAAACAGTTTTAAAGGGTGTCTATTTGTGATGGTTAAAGGGAGGAAGAAGGAATGCCAGCTCTGTCAGGACTGAAAACTCAAGTCATCAGTTACTCTGTCATGAACTGAGAGAGCCAGAGGCAGCTCCAATGGTTTGAGGGTCTGCCAAAGAGACAGATGCTGTTGTACAAAATAACTCCAGTGGACTGGCACACAGGGGCTCCTAGGTGCCACATGAAAAAAAAGCATATGAGTATGAGCAATGCACTGTGCAACTGGGTAAATAACTTGTCAATATTTCATTTGGTCACAGTAATATTATTCCGAAAGTCTAATCTGCAGGTTATGCTCCAGTGAGTAGAAAGGCATTTATACCTAATTGGAATAGGAGAGATCTCTGTACTGTGTGTGTGTATATGTGTGTGTGTATATATATAAATATATATATAAATATATATATATATATGTCTTAGATGAAATAGCATGAAGTGCACCTTGAAAATTAAGAAAACTGGGGTGGGGAGTAGAGATAAAAGAAATACTTTCCTAGCTTCTGCTACAAAGAAAATGCAAGGTGAGAATGCTTCTAGAAAAAAATATCCACTTAACAGCTATGGCTTCTTCTCTTGATATTTATCATGACTTTTATTTACTGACTTGATGAGAAGAATATCTAGTAATAGAGGGGGAAAACTGTGACCTGAAGGACTAATATCCATTTTGGGGGTCTCATTAGGTAAATGCAAAAACATTGAAACAGATAATGTCATGTTAACAGGACAGCAATTCAGAAGACTTGAAGGTGATAGTGGTTAGATATCAGATTTCTAGCTCTTACCAACATTAGCTGTTGTATTTTAAGAGGATATTCAATTTAAATTTGGCCTAGCACATGTGAATACATTATGGTGTGCCATATGCCACTTGCTCCTTGTATCCAAGCCATTCACTGCATTGCCTAGTAAGCTCTGCTGTGCTCATGTGTGCCAGAAGCATCTGAGATGTCACCTTGTTTGTCTAAACTTTGGAGTGCTAAAAGAAGGATAGGTTCAGTTATGCCAGGAAGGTCAGGTAAAATTTTAGAGTTAGAATAGAAATTTAATGATGTGAGACGTGATGTTTCTGTGTTTGTGTGTTTTTTTTTGTTGTTGTTGTTTTTTTTTTTTGATTTTTTTTAAAGGCATGCAAAATGAATGAAATAGCTATATACTAGTAATTGGGGAAAAATCCTTAAAGCTTGATTTATGACTCAGTCCAGTTCTCATCCATCCAACTTGCTGTATCAGTTGACTTTGTAGTCAATAGCACGTGTTGACATTTCATGCTTAAAATATGGCATTACTTTAGGATATGGAAAATATTGGATACTTTCCCCACAGCTGTGGAAATTGATGCGAACATTGGTTTTAAGTTTATAGACACTTATTGAGCAAGAAAATCTGCATGTAACAATACCCAAGAGGTTATATAGAAAGCAGAATACAAAACTAGCCTCAATTCTGATCAGGTGCTCTGGTGATAAGAAGCTAAAGTGCAAAAAGCACAGATGAACAACTTGTTTTCCTTACTTAAAGCAAACTTTTAAGAAGTTAAAAACTCTATATAACTTGAGTTATATACCTGTAACTGTTCCAGATTTATCCAGAGTAATATGGAATTAATCAGTCCTGGGGGGAAAAAAAAAGCAAGGCTTTTTGCACTCCTAATCAATTATAAGAAATTGTTCTAGTTCACTGTTACGTGTTGACAGGCAGCTGACCTGATGCATGACATGCATCAGAAGGAGATGCCACTTGTGAGATTGCTTTATTTTAGTTGCCCATTGCTTCAGGCAAAATTCATAAGCAAATGAGAGAATAGAGAGTGGTTGTAGTACCTAAAAGTTAAGCTCTGATCTTAGTTAGTTCTCTCATAAGATAAGACAAATCTTGAAGGCCTTTTTGGGTGGGATAAGACTTTCTTACAGCACCCTGTAGTTAGTGGGTGCAGACTTCTTGGTGCTGGAACAGTCCAGGTGCCCTGCCAGCAGGATTTTAAAGAAGTAGAAATGCAATGAATTTACAGTTGGACTTGAATCTAAAACAAAAATGACTAATCATAAAGTAGACATTACCAGATAAACACTACTTTAAATCTTGCTATTTTTGTAGGCAAAAATGAGAGTTGTAAGAATTAAAGTGTGGGAGGGAGGAGAAATACAACAGAACTAGGATGGGATGGAATGGAATATGGAATTTCCTTCCTCTTTTATTTGGAATGGAAATGGGAGATATCTGTGGGAGTAATGATAAAATAAAGATAAGGCCCAGAATAGATGGAATTCCCCCTCCTTGATTTGGAGCTACTAGGATCATAGCTTGTTTTTTAAACATAGAAGTGAATTAATCACATGAAATAAATACTTTGAGATTTGTGTACCTATAAATTCTGCATTACTTATTTGCATGCCTGCTGTTTTCAAACTACTGTTAACCTTTGTCTTTCAGGACAGGCATGTTACATAACCTGACAGCGCCGTGCAATGCTGACTGCAAATGTTTGCGCTCCATGTATTACCCGGTCTGTGGCAGAGATGAGGTTCAGTATTTTTCTCCCTGTTTTGCAGGATGTACAGCACACCTTTCCAACAACAACAAGAAGGTATCTTATCTACCTTCAGTGAAACATATATGATGGTACTGTTTGAGATTGATACAGCATGAATGGTGTGAAGGTTTGTGGTGTGTGGTTTTTTTTTTTTTTTTTTTTTTTTTTTTTTTTTTAGCTATACAGTTTCTCGTTACAAATGTGTTTATCTCTACTAGCACAAAAAGCCTTTGACCAAGAGTATGGAAGGAGTGCAGGGAAGAAAAGATTGATGCGTGGGTGCTGAAGTGGGATTTACTGTGCCCCGCTCTGTGCCCACTGCCTCTTGTCCTGTCAGCAGCCAGGGCAAGAAGAGAGAAGTCTGAGAAGAGTCTGGCCCCATCCTCCTCACAACCTTCCCTCAGATATTAATAAACATTGATAACATATAAGCAAGAAAACAGGTATTATTCAGAGTAACATGTGAGAAACTAGCTACTCCCTCCGGTGGGTATCTTAATTTCACTTATTTATTCTTTTGTAATAAACACAGATGGATTTAAATAAAGAAGGTAAAACTTTGATTGTGAAGGATTCCTTTTCAGATTTCTCATGCTTGTACCTAAAAACTTGTTGCCCAGAAAATGGCAGGCATACACCATCTTTTTAGTTTACAAACATAATTATTGCTCAAACTGGATTAGCCTAGTTCTCCTCTACCACTTAAAAATACAAAAGGATTGTAGTGTCATGTGATCCAAATGTATTGCATTTTCTATACTGTAATAATATTCTTATTTTTTCTTGTGCCCCATGGGATACAGGAATCCTCAACATCTATTGCCTTAATTTTAGTCAGTGTCAGAGAGAGCTAACACTTGATTTCTAATTTACAGACTTTCTACAACTGTTCCTGTATTGGGAAACCAGAAAAAGAAAATAATTCAGAGGACTTTCTGTATGAAGCTATCCCTGGGAAATGTCCAGTACAATGCAAACTTTTGCCTTTATTTCTGACATTCTTCTTCTTTGCTGTTGTATTTACCTTTATGGCTGTTACTCCAACAACTGTGGCCATTCTCAGGTATGTCTTTTAGACTGAAAAGTAGGTAACATGAATTTCTAAGAAAACTCCTATTGGTAAAATCTTCATTCTTTTTCCTATAGAGTATAGACTCAAATCAGTGTGCAATGAATTTTGTGTTTTAGTACTTTATGTAGTAAGCTATCAGTGCTTAACAAAGAGAACTCGCTCTCTATAGTTGATGTTCTTCATATTCATTTGCTCTACTGAAAAGAGAAAATAATAAATGTACCATGTGTTTGGATGAAGAAAACTTTCAGTTATACTCTTTATGGTAGTGCATCAAGACTTGAAATTGCACAAAGAAAAATAAAAATGGTCCTATGTGTACTTAGAGGAAGAATTATCAGCACCTGATCATCTTGTCCTTGGATTCCTGTCTCAAATTCAGACTGAGTCCTGAATTTAGAAATTGAAGACTGTTGCAATCTCTGTTGCCTAACATATGATACTAAGGCTGTAAAAATGGAATTATGTGATTCCTCTTAATATAAAATATTGTGACATATATGTCCCTGTTAAGGAGTGATTCGAGTGGTTACACATCCCTCAAGCTCCATGCACCAAAGCTGGATACATTTTGGTATTAATTGGTCTTTGTTTGAAAATTTGCTTTCACTTTAAATTGAGACCTGACTTGCACCTCTAATACCTGTTATGTAGAAGAATAAAATGATTCGTATTGGTTAGTACAGACTTAGTAATACTGTGCCTTTATGTTTTAAATGTGTTGTTTTTTAAGATACTATTTTTCCAGCCTCATAGGCTGGCAGGGTGGAAACATACTGTAACCTTGTTTGTTGTAGCAGCCTCCAGTTCAGGGTTGGTGTAAATGGGCATTTAACATGTTGCCATGCGAGTCTGGGGGCAGGATAATGTGGAGTGTTGCCTTGTGCTCCAAATGCAGAGCTGGCAGTTGCAGTGAATTTTAAGTAATGACACTTGGACTTTTGGAAGCCTCCTGCACTTCAACTAAAATGGTGAAACAGTTTCTATGGGGAAGGTAATAGCACAGCTTGAATATTCAAGAACTCATTTAAATGGTTAAATGTGAAGAAAATGTCATATTCTGATATGTTTTTACTAGCCTTGTATTTTATGCCATTTTAATTTCGAGGATTAATTTCTGGATTTCTAAGATCTTCAATCAACAAGTTAAAAGCATATATCAAGACAAAGCATATTTATTTAGGATTAAAGCTCCTCCAAGTTTGTCAAGCTCAAACTTGTTTACCAAGGCCTTAGACTCTGACTCTCTTTTCCAGGTGTGTGCCAGATAAGCAGCGCTCATTTGCCCTTGGAGTCCAGTCAGTGTTTCTGCGCCTGCTGGGTATGACTTCCCGTTGAAATACCTGTCTCTTACCTACTTCCCTGATGGTTTTTCCAACCTTAAAAATGATGCTTTAAGACTTGTTAAAAGGCAGGTGCCATCTGTGGTTCAGTACTCGGAGGCTCCTGTGGAGCAGAGGGCAGACCTTGGTGCCTAGTGACTGCATCTGGAGAGGGCAGCATCTGGCAGCGTTGCTGCCAGCAGGTCAGATAAACTCCATCAATGCCCAGCCTGACTTCCTCCCTGTACACAGAATCTGTACACAGACATCACACAAGGATCCTAGGTAGAAGAGCTGCGGTGAAGATATAGCTGCTTGTTTGCTTAAGATCAGCTTAAGCCTTAAGCAGGGTGGGTAAACATGCTGTTTGTGCCTAGGGTGTTTGCAGTGGCATGGACTATACAGATATTTTACATCTAAAAAACTGAGAGTTCATGTAAATCCACTGAATTCTAAAAAGGAACAACCTCAATACTTGTTTCACATTTCCCCCCCCCCGCCCAAAGCTTGTATGGAAAAGTAATGGAAAACTGAATATAGGTACATCCTTTTCATTTGCAGCTATTTGGTATATTTGATCTGAAGAAAGGGCCTTTTTCTTTGGTTAGAATTCTACTTCCTTGATTACTTCTGCTTCCACCCAACGGAGGTTTTATTCATATTTTTATCTTCCTATGAAAGCTTAAGAAGTTGTGAGAAGTTCTGAAGAAAGCTTTTACTTGACAAAAATATGCAATGTGAACTACATAACTTTGACTAAAATGTTTGCGGGATGTCGATCTCATGTTCCTCAGCACTTTGGAGTTTCACTGTCTCCATTCAGGTCAAATACTAATTTCTATGACTTCAAATATTCAATCATGTCCCTTTTTTTTTTTTTCTCTCTTTTAGGCACCATTCCTGGACCAATATTGTTTGGTGTGGCAATAGACAACAGTTGTTCTCTATGGGATATTAATGAATGTAAAACTAAAGGAGCCTGTTGGGTCTATGATAATGAAAGAATGGCCTATCTACTGATGGGTATAAGTAAGTGACTCTTCTACATGTGAATTACATGTGCAAGAAATAGATTATAATGTCCTTGACTGTTAGATGGGAACAAGGCTATTTTAGAATGGCCTTTTAAACTTTTATTAGCTTTCTTAGCAGCAGTGTTAGAGTAAAAATAAAAAAATCTTAATCGGGGATGTCTTTGTCTTTAAATATCAAAAAGCAAAACTTCGGAGAAGGAGAAAGACCCCTCCGAGACGTTATTAAAAATGGATAATGGAAGATTATTTTATGACACAAGATTTTGAAGTAGTTTTGCTCTTCAGTCTCCTCACGTTATTTTCTGAGCTGTACAGAATTGGCAGACATCTCAGTCTAATTTCTCTTAGCTTGTCAGCAACTTATGTTCTGAGGCCTCTTCTCACTCTTGTCATGCATCATTTTTTTTATTACCTTAATATAAAGGTTTTAAAATTTCTCTAAACACTGGTCAAAAAGCTTCTCAGTTTGTGTAACAATTTCCTTTAGATGTGCATGGGCAGTGTGTGCATGAGTATTTTGGGAGATAGTTGCAGTTGTCCTGTCTTGTGATAGCCATCACACTCAAACTGTCTAAACTGAACTACTGATATCTAATATTCAAACTTGAATAAGCAGCACAAACAACTTGAGGTTTCAGTATCTTTCAGGCATATTTCAGTGACTGAAAACAATCCCCTCTAATCTGTCTTTGCAGAAGCAGCTCTTGGTATCAGTGAAGGGCTAAAGGGCTTTTCTTAAGGTAGCTGAGGGCTGAATACTTAACAGGTTTATACTTGGGGAGCTGCAGTGTGTGGGGCAAGAATGTTGAAAAGACAAAAAAATAGTAATAAAGCAAGAATCAAGGGAGGTGTATACTTCAGGCTGCAGTGGGGGAGAGAAATAGAGGCTGAAGGTATGGAAATAGCTGCTGCAAGCAAGAACCAGCAGGCAGTTGTAAGACTTTTTTAAACCTACTCTCTGTAGTTTATCCAAAGTTCCCTGCAGTTGATCACATCCAACTAAAGTCTTTCAGTATAACTTGCTGTGTGAAGTTTTACAGGTAACAAATACTCTTGTCTGCTGTTGAAGGTGATTTTCAATGAGAGGTCTCCCATTGTTTCTTTTGCTTCCAGGTGCTATTTGTAAAATCATCACCATCATTTTTGTTATTGTGGCGGTCTGTTTGTATAAGCCTCCACCAGCAAGTTCAGCCCTGTCACAGAAGGATTCAGAAATGGTATCTACTGTGTGCACATAATCCTGAGCAAAGTGGGACTTTCAAAAAGAAGTCCATAGGAATAAGCTCTGTTACAACATTTGTACCAAAATTACTGTGCGATATTACCCAAGCATAAAAGAGCAATATTATAAATCTTGACCAATTTAAAATATTTGTGAATTCGTAGTGTTCACTAATTTCTGAACATGATTTTATGTGTTCTACTATGTCTTTCCAAAGAAGTGGTACGTTTTCCAGGTGGCTGACTGCAAATTTAAACACCTAACTTAAGTGAAATGAGATGGAATAGTCTAAACAAAAGGAAGAAATATGAGCTGAACCAGACTGACTGCAAGGCAAGTTTCTGCTGCTTGAAAGTAATACGTGAGACTGTAGTAGCAGAAAATGTGTAACTGGATCCATCCAAGGGAACTGGCAGTGAGGATTTTAATGTGCACATCGTTTGGACTAGTACCATAGATGCAAATTTTGACTGTAGATACTCGGGAATGTGCAAATATGGATGTGTGTTAAAAATATTTTTAAATGCTGTCTCAATGGTACAAACTGTTCACTTTTTAGTATTTGTAGAAAAATGTAAATAGTTATGACAGGCCGGCCAGACTTGCAACAGCAAAATGTTTGTTAAGTGCCTTATTTTCTATCTGGGATGTATAGAGCAGGTTGCTCTCAAGCTTTTCTCTTCAGGCATTGTTAACATTTTTCTATGAGATTTGAAAATAAAAGCTATTTTCTTACAGCTTCTGTGCAGGCCTGGTTATTTCTAGGTGGTGGCTGAGCCTCCAGTCTTCACCACTCGGTCAAAATGCTGGAAAAGCAAGGAATAGGTGTGTAAGCACCAGCAATGGGCCAGCTTGTCTTCCTTGGACCTTCCGAGCAGAAGCCACTACACGTCCTCGCTGCTTGCGGCTTCGTGCCTGCTGAGGCAGAGGAGGGGGAGGACTGTAACAGCTCCGGCTTTCTGTGCTTAGATCAAGGTCTAAAGATAACAATTTCCTGATAAATGCGCCCAGGACAAGATGGGTAACTTGGCCTGCAAGAAGTAAATACTGATCTTCCCCCAAACTTGGGAAAGGACCTTAAAACTGAGCTCACTTTCTGGCTCTGTTGTGAGGTATAGCAAACTGCACTTTTACTACAGTTTAGACAGAAACTCAGCTTTCTCCTCCTGGTGTGACTTGGTCTGAGCTCATGGGTTACAGGTTTGCTGGGCAGCATGACTGGGCATTGCAAAACTTGTGGGGCAGAGCGAGAGCAGCTTCCTCTTCTGGGGGAGCTGCGGGGCTCTCGCTGGAGCAGTTACCAGGGTGGAGAGGGAAGGAAGTGGTGCCACGGTGTGAAATAGCAGTTAGTGCTCAAGGCTGTTGCAACTGCTTTGTCCTGTGACTTGTTAAAGATTACACCCGCTAACTCAGGGGGATCAGCAGAGCGATTAGGAAGGACCGCAAATATTTAGTTTTGTCTTGGTTCTTGACAACTGTGTCCTAAATGAGTTTATCCATTTACGGGGAAGCAGGCCCTTATTTTAGCTGGTGATTAGCAAAGTTAAATCAATTATCTAAAGCAATAGATACTGCTCAGTGTGATCTCTATTCTATGTTGTGTAATTTCTACCTGAATTTTTGCCAGGGAAGACCTGTCTGCTCTTGCGGTGTCCTTTCCTGGGGCTTTTATCTCAGTCGTTATCTTCCATTAAACTGTGTTTAGCAACTTAATACCGTGCTTGTGTGCCTCAGGGGTGATAGCTGTGCTTTTCGCACTAGCAGGATACTCTTGATAAGATCTTTATAAACAGCAGTTGACAGCAGATTTTGTGTTCTATGAACCCTTGTTTAGAGTGCTGGGACTGCTAAATTCATTGACCTGGTTTTCTTATTAACTACCATAGATCTGGAGCTTCAGAGCAATCGTGGGTGTTGTCTAAAATATGTTTTGAAGCTTTTAGATAGAAGATAACTTTCTAACTAATGTAGTCTTTTGTAGAAACAATTTCTAATACAAATGGAAGTTGGGTAAGCAAGCACTGTAGTTGAGAGAGTTTTTAATTTATCTGTGAGCTAGAAATAAGCTTGTGAACCTTAAGTACATTATTTTGCAGTCCTAGTGTATTATTTTGCAGCTGAAAATCTCCCAAATGTTATTGAGGTCCTTGCCTTGGTAATTGTCTATTATTTTTGTAGTGGAAAAATGCTCTTTAGAACTCCCTAAAATATGTAGCTTGTTTTTGGTGCTTTCTGTCTAGACCTTGAAAATAGTGGGTGTTTCAAGGCTGCTGCTTTTTCTTTTTTCCTCCTTTTCTCTATTTTAAAATACTCTCTGCTGGGTTAGTGGAGTAGAGCTCCACTAGCAGCTACTATAGATGTTTGCAACATAGTTAGGATGAATAAATAGCAACGGGTTTTCAATTGTGAGTATCAAAAGTGTTTTCTTACTTGCCAGCCTGCCTCTGAATTCAGAAGAGCATTATGATCAAACACAAAACCAGGGATGTAGGAATACTTTCCCAGAACTCCAACCCTGTGTCCAGGGATATTGAATTTATCATTGAATCAGTTTGGCAGTGAAGTAGACTGAGGACTGGCTGGATGGCAGAGCCCAGAGGGTGGTGATAAATGGGGCAGTCTGGTTGGAGGCCTGTGGCCAGTGGTGTCCCCCAGGGGTCAGTACTGGGCCCGGTGCTGTTCAACTTGTTCATCAATGACCTGGACGAGGGCACAGAGGGCACCCTCAGCAAGTTTGCAGATGACACCAAACTGGGAGGAGTGGCTGACACTCCTGAGGGCTGCGCTGCCATCCAGAGGAACCTGGACAGGATGGAGAGTTGGGCAGAGAGGAACCTCAAGAGGTTCAACAAGGACAAGTTGGTAACAAGCCACTGCTATGTGTGTAAATGAAAAGCCTTGATGGCCCAAGTGGGAAGTTAGCCCTGCTCTGAGCAGGGCCTTGGACTGGATGATCTCTGATGCTTTCTAATCTAAGTGATTCTGTGAGGGAGGCATCCTTTCCCTGCCTCCAGGGACTATTTCCTTAGCCTGGCATTTCCTATTTCTCCTGCTTGGAGTTGTCCATGATGCATCTTTCCTTGCAGCCAGCTCTCCATGTGCTCGCAGGTACCTCTGCCTATCTTTTGAGATAGTTTGGTGCTTATCGAAGAAAACTCTGCAGGGTTGCTCTCATCGTGATGGGCTTTGAAATCAGCTGATATTGCTACGTGCTTGTGAAGGGCCTTGTGGTCCTGAAAGCATATTTAGTTTTTAAAAATACAGGAATTTGTGTAATAACTGTTGCTGCCCTGTGGAAATCTGTGTCTCTGCCTGAAGTTTTGAGGCCTATAGCAGTGCTCTTTGTTATCCCAGTGACACATACTCACTATTGAAAATACATTCATTTACCATTGTGGCAAGGTAGACAACATATTTACAGCATGTTTGTTCCTTTTGCATGCTGTGAAGCTTGAACAACTTGAATTTCTGTGGCTTACAGTGTGCTTGAACAGACAGGAAACAAGATTGGAGCTGCCTCTTCTGCCAATGACTTAGCCATAGGGAGCCTCACTTTTAAAATTTTATGCCGCTTCAGAATTTTCCTTGTTGCTGTGTAAAATGATAAGACAGGTTTGCTTTCCAAAAACAGCCTAGTTTAGTTTTAAAAATCTGGGGAATATGCGCTGCAGGAGTATGAGAGCCAGGCTTCACTCTGAGCAGAGGCCAGTGCGTGGTCTGCTCTGCATCCTCCACAGCGGCAGGTAGAAATTAATACAGCTGCAGCTACTCACACCATTCATCTTCTTTTGTGCTTTTGGACCTTAGAATGGATCTGACCGTCATTTTGGCTAAGGTAATATTTTAAACAGCCTATAGGACAGTTGTTTTATGGAGCCTAGAGCTGACTTGTGGATGTCTGCTCAAAAGAGGCCAAGATCTGAAGGATTCCTGGAGAGCAACAAGAGCCTTTGGTGGCTTTTACAGCCCAGGTAAACTTCTGGTCTGAACTTTGTTAGCTCAAAAAATATATATCTTTTTAATTTCTCCCTCTTCTGCAGAAGAAAGAAGATGTTAAGGGAATCCCAAGCTGAATTTGAAGAGTGGAAGCTGGAAACCCTGTTAAACTAAGGCAGTTTTCCATGTTTGAATGCTGATGAATAGCTGCATGCTGAAATTCAGTGCAATTGTGGGAGTATATGCTTCCTAGTTTCAAGAATACCTTGAGAAAGGCTGAAAATCTGGGGTTTATTTTGCAAGTGGTTAGCACATGTACCTTTACTTACAAAATACTTTATGCTTTGGGTTGTATACATACCTGGCTTAAAGCATCTTTTTGCTTGTGACTCCAGGTAGCTGAACATGATGATTTGAACGGAGAAATGGGCCCTACCCCGCTTCTTGGTGTAAAACGTCATAAAAGTAGATCAAGTGTAAACAGCCTGGAGAAAATCACTGAAAAAGCATCGTTCACATCTGGAACTTTTCAAAAGCCTTGCAGGTTGAGGAATAAGAGTAGTATTCCTGTTAGGGAATAAATGTGCAAGAACTACATTTCCACATGCTACTGTAGCCGAGTGCCCAGCTCGGGATTTAGCAGCTGACAGGGTTTTAAGGGCTTTTCTTGTCAGCAGATGGCTCTGTTGTTTCTGCTAACACAAGTCCCACATTGTTTTAGTTGCAACATTGAAAAGTGCAGAGTAGAAAATATGCAGCAGTTGCAAAAATATTCTGTTAATAAAAGTGCTGCCTCTTGATTCTGCTTTTGCAGCAGCAGTTGCTTTTGCATTGTGGTAAATGTATAAACATGCTCATGTAGGATCTCTGCTCTTTTTTTATGAAGCACCTCTGTGCACCCCCTGTCTTTGCACGGGTGTCTCAAAGGCAAGAGGGGAGCTAGGTGAAGATCAGAGAAATAAAAGAGGGAATGAATAAATGTTACATATGTAATAATAATGGGGGAAAAATGTAAAATGTTGCTTGTGTGGAGCTCCCATGGAGGCTGCTGTGTAAAGGAGACTTATGGATTCAGGCACTTGGTTTGAAGAAAGTGGAAATTTTGCTGTCACACCCTTTCTTTGATAACC